GTGCTAAACGAAAATAAGGCATTTAGAATTTGTTTTAAAAATAATACCTATTTTATTTTGTCATTATGTAGACGACACAGCGCGGACTGTGAAGTCTATTGGAGTTTTGCATTTGTTTTATTCTTATGTACATATATATCGTATATGTGCATACATAAATTATATGTATGTACATATGTATTAATACATACATATTAACTTATGTACATAATTAAGTATGTACGATCATGCACTCATATGTAAAATATATTTTTAAATTTAAGTTTACAATATGGAGTGTACAATTTTTCCTTAATGCAGTGTTGAATGAAATTAAAGTTTCATTAAATGGATTTAAATACATTTTATTATTAAGTCATGAATTTATCAGCACATGTGTTTTATGTATGTATCTATGTTTTAAAATTTATGAATAAATTTATTTTGTAATGATATTAAATGCAGAAATGTATTTGTTTCGTTGCATTTTACGCGGCATTGGGTAAGTCGACAAAAGTGATACTAAACTGGCCGGCGGGTAAGGTGGATATGGTGGGTAGTGGTAGGTATATACACGTACATTGCTACATTTTCAGATGTTTTAGATAACGTATATAATGCTGTTTAGGAATTTAAATTTTCAGGTAAATCGGTTGGTTGCACAAAGCATTGTATGTACATCAGACCCTACCGGAAAAAAGATCACCGTACGCCCCTGTGCCTATCGTATTTTTGCAAGATAATTTGAAAAAAATAATCTGGGGTTGTTTTTTACATTTTTCGTCATATCTTCGGTATGTACAGTCGGATCTTGAAATATTATATATCGATTCACTTTTTTTGTTCCAGAGTTCATAGACCTGCAGTACCCCGTTCTAATCTTACCCCCCAGATCTCAGTTACTACCAACTCAACGTAATTTCTTTAAAGTTCGCCAAAAATCATTAAACTTTTGCTTGGGAAGTATATCGATTCAAAAGCAATTTCAATTTCTTTTGCTTTACGTAAACGTCGTCTTTTTGAATTTCTTGTCATATCTTCGGCATTTACAGTCTTATTATTTAAGTATGGCACATATTTACTTTCAAACTTCATTGACCTAAAGTACCTCCATCTGGCACCTACCCACTATAACTCAGCTCTAATCACCTTATTGAACCACCCTGCTCTGGAATCCAGTAGAACTACTTAAAAAAATTCATTTTTTTCGCCGAATGTGTGTATGTAGGGCCAGTGGAAAATATACATATAAAGGCGACGCACATAGGGGTATTTGACCGATTTAGGCGGCCAAAATTATTTTTATGAAAATTGTAACTCAAAATGCTTAGAAACGACGTATTACGATATTTAAAACTGTAAACGTTTAAAATCAAGTAAATAGAGGGGGAGGATGTCCAAGTATTCCACCAAAAAAACGAAAAAAAGGTGCCTAAAGTTCGACATCGATAGACTCCATGTTATCGAGGTCCCATTGTAGAAAAATTGAGACCTACGTATTGGTATCGGCGAGGAGAAGCTTTATATCTAAGTAAGAACATTAAAAGGGTTGCAACCTGCTTAAAAATTAAATTCAATTAAGATAAATGAATTACTACTACAATGTGGGTAACATTCGAAATGGATTTGAAAAGGCTTTATTTCCAAGAAACGTGTAGGAGGGTTACCATCTGTTTAAAAAATAATTTATAAGGTTATAGTTTGAAACTATCTTAAACAGGGCTGCCACCTTTTAAATTTAAAATTAAGTTAATTATAACAATATGAATATCATACATGGGCAAATCTAAAAAACAGGTAACCTTTATGTTATTTAGCTTTATTTTCACTGTTGTAAACTGTATGAAGCTGGTTGCTTTTGGATATAGTTTATTGACGTATACTTGAAGCCTCAAAAAAAATTTGGACCAATTTGCTGCATAACTTTTGAATTATAGGTGTTTACATTAAAAAAATAATGAAAACAAGTGGATTTTTTTATGTAATTTTTAAAAGGGGCACAATTAATTACGTCAAATTAGCTTCGATAGACATCGAAAGAGCTTTTAAGATTGATAACTGCTCGTTAGATTTCGAGTTTGCTTGACTCTCTTGGTACGCGATTTAATATTTATGTGCCCGATTCGGTGATGAAGTAATTTGTTTAATTACTTCAGAAGCATCTCTCATTCCTACTGACCGTAATTTTATTGTAGTATCACTACAGTTCCGTAAATTTTCGGTTTTACGTCTCTTCGTTCTATCGCTGGACTCACCCAAAGGTTTGGTAGGCCAAATAATCAATTATCAACACGGTACTTTGACAGCGAGGTGCCAACGAATGAAAACAAAGAGGGATTAAAAAATAACGAAATCTAGTCAAGAATTATATTCTCTTCACCCTATATTCAGTTATAAAAGAAAAATGTGCGTTTTTAAAATTCGACTTTTGGCCGCCTAAATCGGCCAAATACCCCTCTGTGCGACGGCTAAAAAAAAAAATAATCGAAATACTTTACGACTCAGGCATGTACGCCGAACTATTTTTTGTTTGCCTGTAATTTGGTACGATCAAATGTACAAATCGCTCTAATAATAATATACAGAATTAAGGTGGCCTCAAACAGATGCGATAACGATAAAAAGCAAAGGCCCTCAAACGGTCTTAATTTAAATTTTAAAATATTTTTATTAATTTTTCTTATAACTTTATTTCAATATGAGAAAACATCAGTCCAATTGTTCGAATATAGGCTAATCTATATTAGTTAAATAAAGTTGTGATTGTAATAAATTGCATACGTAATTTTGATACGTAAATACATATGTATGTATATATTTGTAACATTGAGTTTACTATGTATTAATATTTATTTTATATTAATATAAAAATAATTGTATTAATATAAAAATAATTTTGTCTTCATCTAAACGTATGTATGTAGTTCATATGTTTGCAGCTATAAATAATCTTAGCGACACGTATATATATTATTTTAGATACTTTTTAGATTAGTGTTGTAAATTGTTAGTAGTCAATAAAAACATGAAACAAAACTATTCGTAATAATAGTTTTTAGTAAAATAGATTGCAACAAGTTGTAGTTTAAATATAGCATAACTTCAAGGATTTTCTTTATAGAAACATATGTATTCATACATATGTGTAAAAGTCTGAATGTAATTTTTTTTTTTTGATAAGTATCGCTAAGTATTTTTACATCCTTCAAATGTATGTTTTAATGTGTTAAATTAACGGTGCGCGCAGTTAGCTGCATTTGGTGCAATTTCTGATTGAGTTTTTGGTTATGATCCTTTAGGTAGGCAATAAGATCAGCCTGTGGGAGATATAAGCAGAGATAGAACTTTCGTAGTGTATAAATTAGCTGATTATAATTGATCATTTACGCACCTGCTTCTCCAAAAGTTCAGCTGTATTA